AAGGCGATTACGTCGGTGTTCTCGAGTTAAAGGGAGGACCCAGTGTGGCCGGTATGAAAACAAGCCAAAACTTCTCATTCGTCGGTAAACACTTCGCATGCCAATAGGTCTTCCGTGTTCTGCAAACCATTCAGTGCTAGTGGAGAAACGGTCCCTTAAGGCCAATAATCTTAGGCGGCGATCTTCACGGTCTGTTGTTCTACGGCGGCCTCCAGTGCCCCTTGCTCTTTGCGTACGGCCTTCTCGAAGCCATGCCTGACAACACCTAACCACAGTGTCTGCACTTCTTTGCACTCTAACTGCAATTGCCCGAAAAGAAAGTCCAGCTTCCTGAAGTCCCACTATACGGCCCCTATCAAACTCACTCAGTTGACGAAATCGTACAGGTCTCCGTACTCTAGGCATCGTAACCGATCGTAAAGGATGTCAAGAACCAAAATCCGCCAACGCTGATTCTTTACTGCGGCTGAAATATTCATTTTTAGAGCGTTAGTGAATTAAAAAAAAAGGAATGTCCAACTGATAAGGCTGAACATTTTTTCACTTGTTATTTACAGTAAGATAAATACATTCACCAACTTTTATTAAAATAAAACCATTTAAACTGGGTGTTCGGATTTATATGTCACTTAGTATATTCTCCTGCTGAGGTGCAGCGGTGTGTCCGAGTTAGTTATCTATTTATTGTGCTGGCTACAGTCCGCAGTGGCCTCCACGAGGATGCAGCATCGAGTCGCAACGCCGATTGAAAATTATCTCAAATTATGGGCACATTATATACCGCACTTTTATCATTCAATTTTCCCGTTGATACCGGGATCCGAAGTTTCTTAATGATAGAACGTCTTTGACTGATACTGAAGACGTAACACTTACTACCTCCACCAATTCTCTCATGCCTAACCAAAATTTTATGAGCCCCTGAAACGTCCAAAAACGAGTGAATTTTATATACTTTTTTTTCTCGTTTTTGGTACTTTTGCTGCCGTTGCACCCATTTTCAAAAACTACAAAGCTTTCGCATCCTCGTGTAAAAATTCGAGAGGCACTTTTCAAGTTATAGGCAGTTATAAGCTTAGCGGACAGACGGATAGACAGATAAACAGACAGACAGACCGACGGATATGAATGAGATGGTAATTCGTGATGTACATAACATTTAAAAAATATAATATTTCCTTTCCGAAATTTTTCGCGATTACAATGAGCTCCTCGGTTGACGCGAGATGAAAGAAAGAACAATGGAGTATTTTTAAAAAACTATTATTAATCGACTATCATGTCTTCCTATATAATCTCAGTTTGAGTTACGACTACTGGGCTTTTACCTAGATCGAACGTTCGAACGAAAATTCAGTTATTTTCATTCTTCGACTTCCGAGCGAAGGTTTTAGTAGATCTTGTTGTATCTTCCGTCTCCGGATATCCAGACAATTCGCTATTTGTGTATTAAAAGCGCGAAGGCTTTATTGTTCGAGACATACGGTTCAGCTTTTTACAATCTGTATCCTGAATGAAGATTGCTCATACTTTCTGAGCATCCTGTACATCTTTCGTAGAATAGGGAATATATCGGCTTATTATAACTGTAAAGAACTTATATATCGGCTTCCAGTCACAGACTCGCACAAGATTACAATACAAGCAATAATAAAAGTATCGGAACGATCAATAGATAAGTCGTTCACGTACGTCGACGGTAATAGTACACTCGGAGCGATTCTCACATTACCCGAGTCAATTAAAACTGAATCGAAGTTTATAAGTTTCCCATTTTTCCATCGCGAGACTAATGCTCCCCAAGGTCAAATGCACCTTATGGATCATTAATAATTGATGCTCTGACACTTCTCGAACGAGCCAAAAAAAACTTCTCAGCCTTAATTTACAATCGATATAGACCAGTCGATGCTCTTTCCTTTCTAAATAACATTCACATGCTTCTAAGAACTAGTTTCTTGTGAGTAGAATAAGCAGATCAAGTGAACAGTGGAAAAACTTCTCATTGCTATCTGAAATGTCAGTGAAGCTAGATTTGTGAATAAATACGGACATCCATATACTCAAAGGACGTACACTCTAGATTTTGTATAAGTACACGTTAAGGTAAAAGATCAACATTTTTTTGGATAATGTCTTTCTGGTAACGTTTCTGTCACACTCACAACATGCGGTGAAAAATACAGGAATACACGACATGCTTAAGCTTAATGCGGATACAGATTTTGGAACCTGTTTTATCTTGTCAAATAAAACTTATACCGTGAGAAATTATCTTAAAAATTCCTTTTTTCTAATTTTAGGCATTCAAATGTACTGCTACTGGACCATGGTATCTAAAATTTCGTCATATATAGTGACCTGCCTAACACGGAGTTTAACCCTTTCTACAAAAAAGAAATGCTTTGGATATGTTTATTGTATTTTCATTGGAATTTAAATTACCAAGTAATAAAACTGTTATTAATAGTTATTTAATTGCATGTTGTTGGTTAATAGTCTGGTATATGGAGATGCTGAAATCGTTTTCGTAAGGAAAATAATATCCCTCTAGAATGGCTGTCCGTTAGTTGGTATTGAGGAATTTAATGGAATACATAGGTATGCACACAATACGAACCATACTGATTGCTTATAAGAGGCTTGGAGAAATAAGACGTTAAGATCATGGAGACGTGATTTTAGGCAAAATAGTATCAAGTTTTTACTTGTGAACGAACGAGACATAAATGGGCGAACTTTACACTCGGCTTTTCTTCCACTTATTCCTTGTGTGACATTGGGTGCTAGAAATTTATATATGTACATATTCACCAAAAATGTTAAAATAAAGCAATACAAATGTTAAATACTAGAAACCATTACAATTACATATGCAGGAGATGCAACGTCAAGTTTAGTTTATACTTATCCAGGTCATTTCGTAGATAATTGTATGAGGAGATTGCATTTTAAATGTAAAATATCTTGTGGATATAGAAATCTTGTCTTGAGGTACAGTGAAAATTTCTGAAAAATATATAATTCTGTTGTTGTGGATTATACATGGTCCGTCAGAAAGAACGCATGTTTTTTCAATGAATATGCCCTTGAGTCGAAATGCAGGAATCAAGCCACTCCCGAAATGAGCCCATTGCGTCAGCCAGCATCCGTGTAGGAATTTGGGTTACTTCTCTTCTTATTTCCTCCTTCAAATCGACGAAGGTCCGATGCTTGCTTTGGTAAACTTTTGATTTCAGGTAGCCCCATAAAAAAATCACACGTTGACAGGTCCGGGGAGCGAGGGGGCCATGGAATATCGCCATGAGGTGAAATGAAACGTCCTAGGAATTTTCGCCGAAGAAGCTCCATCCAAGTACGAGCTGTGTGAGATATTGCCTAGTCTTGTTGGAAACACACTGTACACAAAACGGACACGTTGACGTCGAAGTTCCGGAAAAAAAGGTGTTCAGCATGTGGATGTAACGCTCTGCATTCACAGTAGTTGTTTCTCCATCATCCTCAAAAAAAGTAAGGGCCAATAATCTTCGTTGGGCCTACTGCACACCAAACTGTAACTTTCGGAGTATGCAGGGGGTGCTCATGCAACTGTTGGGGCTTCACTGGAGACCAATATCGACAATGTTGTTTATTGACGTATCTATGTAAATGAAAATGTGCTTCATCACTCATAAACAACGTCATGTTATTGTTATCCAACTATTCAATCATGAGCTCTGCAAAATTAACACATTTTGCATAATCCCCTGGCGACAGTTGTTGACAAACTTGGAATTTGTAAGGTTGGAACACTAAATCCTTCTTCAAGATCCGACGTATAGAGGACGCGTGGATCCCTAGGGAAGAGGCACGCAAACGGACGGAACGATTCGGGCTTTGCAGCGTGTCAACTCTCAGTCTGACTACGTTTTCGGGGGTTCTGACAGTACGGTTTCGCACTGGCGGGTTTTTCTTCATCACATTACCTGTATGTTGAAATTACCGACGTATTACCGACGTATAGTGAACACACGATGCTCAACGTTCCAAACTATCTTGCCAACTGAAACGGCACTTCTCCCACTATCCAATACGCCCTTCCCCACCGACACGGGTCCACGACACTCGATGTAGTATCCATTCGAAAACATGCGTTCTGTCTGACGGACCCTGTATTATTACGAGGAATGAATTTTCTTTACAAGTATAAAGGTTTCTTGGTGAGCATTGTTTTGTGTACAAAATTGTGAGCAATAAATGTTTGAACATGTCTTCTCCAGTTCGTAGCAATGATGGCCTGTTGCGTGATCATATCTTGGTAGATTAAACTTCTTATTATTTGCACTCTTCATTTTGGCTTTGCCGGTTATTGCAGTGTTTATGTAGGGTGACATAAGAGTCGTTAATATTATTTCCGGCGCATAGATCTTCCTTTTTTCTTCAGGGAGCCGTCCACATAAGTGCCCTATGACACTTCATTCTCTAACGCTTACTGAACCGTCACATAGACTAGGATTTTGGGGGTATCTTACAGGGTGCTGAAGATGCGAGACCGAAAAAGAAAAATACGCAACAGAGAGGGTATCTGTGCCAAAGACATTAAAACAGACATTTTGGTCTCAAATGAAGTATGTTTTAAAAGTAAATGACCTTGTTGAAACTCTACTACTATAGTTTGAATCAAATAGAATATACCTTACCTTACCTTTGCAGTATTTTAGCTCACCAGAAACAAATTGACATAAAAATGTGATAAGATGTTGTACAAACTCATGCCTGTACTTTGAACAAAACTTAACGCCGGAACTTATGTAGCTGCTGGCATCAAGGATGGTCGCTAATCATTCACGTGAGCGCCTAGTCAATTTACTTATTTATCTGTATGTGTATTAAATGTATGTTAATTCTGTAACATTTATTCGACCAAGCTTGTTCGATGCAGTGCTCAGGCTCTAGACGACCCACGAGTATCAATACACAATATTCGCCTTCCCTTATTAGAACCATTTCTTTTTTTCCAGACATGGACGACGGCGATCTTCCCCTCCCCTCCGCCCCGAGCGTTGGCGACTCCCACCAACAAGCCCTAAATTACTCCACCTTAGCCTCTGCAGTGGCCGCTACTAACGGAGGCGGTACAGCAACGGCAGGAGGCGGAGTCATCCCAGGCGCAACGGCTGTGGCACCGCCCATCGAACAAACGGGCGTGTCCTCCACCGAGACCCTCCTCAGGAACATCCAGGGCCTGCTCAAGGTCGCAGCGGACAACGCGCGCCAACAGGAGCGACAGTTCAATTACGAAAAAGGTACGAACAGCAATGTCGTCTACTTACTGTCGTTAGCGCAGTACTATATGTACTTAGCGGCGACGCAAAAATGTTAGAAAGTTCGAAAAGACGTTTTTTATAATGTGTATAGAATCGCTGAGAGTGGTTCGGCTTAATTAGGGTGATAGTTGGATATGCTCATTATGATTTAAGAGGACGAGCAATAAACCTGGACCTACGGAGCAAATAAATAGTTCACCTGAAAACTGTTCGATTGGTGATAGCAAATCGAGGACCGAAAACCATGGGGTTCCAAGCTACAATTCCAATATCTTTATAAAAATGAATTTTAAAGTTTAGAGGTTTAAATAATTTTTAACACGTTATTTTTGCTGTTTTGGGAAACGCTTCAGTTGTACTTGGAACTTTGTGAAACTATGAGCTGTGTATTTGGAACCTTATGGTACTTTTACGTTTGAAATTATTTTTTTATTGTTGTGTAAGGCTTATAAAAACTAAAATTAATTAGTAAAATGGATGTTTTTGGTTAAACGAATAATCAGTTTAAAAACAAAGATTTTATTACAAAAAAAAAATCAAAATTTTAACGAACAAAAAATGGAATTTATTTTTTAAATCGAGGATATCGTACCAAACTGTTCTTATTTCTTTTTAAATATTTTTGAAAAACTGTTTTGAGGTGAATGTAACGTAATTCTGTCAGTGACCTTACTCAACCCTCAGAACCTGTACTGTTCAGCATGTTTTCTGTCAGTCTTGTTCTCGATTTTTTTACACCAATGGTAGCTTTTCCAAGAAGATACTCCCTTAGACCGAGGTATATTGTTCGTGCTGTAGCTCCCCATCTATTTTCAGTGGAGAGTCTCTCCAAACCAAAGATATGTCGATAGTACCAGATGTTATCTGAAATTAGTCTTTACACTGCTATTGATTTAAGTTTTTAATCTGCTGCCAATATCACTCTGAACAACAGCAGGTGGCACATGCAGACGCTTTGCACGAGAATATACAAATTTTTTCTGCTAGTTAACATTGTTCAGATCATGGGTCATAATGTAATATCAACTGTCATTCAATAGCTAAACGATTAGTCATAAAACCCTACGATAGCGACGTACTTAAGATAGTTAATTAAAAAGGCATTGAAATCGAAACACTCAAAAATTACTTTTGTATAGAAACAAAGCCGGTGCTGCGGCAATTGTAAGTAATAAACTAATTCACAATCGCATTGATAGTGTGTGGTCTTGACAGAAGCCCTTTTATATTCGCCAGCGTTCGATATTTATTACTTTTATTCGCAATGAATAGCTACATATGTTATTTCAATTGAATTTGCGTTCAACGTACTGTACATAATCTCCTATATTTTTATTTTCGAACGCGAACATATACTGCCTGCCAAAAAATGTAACACCTACGGGTTATTAAGTTTTAGTTATCGTTTGAATCGGCATTACTGCAAGCAATAGTAGATGAAGTGAAGAAAAAAAGCATGTATTGAGGCAACGCATTTTTCAGAAATTCAAATACTTCAATCAGCTAGCAGGAGATTGAAAATAATAGTACAGGGTAGCACATTTGTTATCCTGAGCACATACTGGGTAATCACGATACTGGATTGTCCCATTATAGGTGTCACATTATTTTGGATATCAGTATATGTTCACTTGTATATTTTTTAGTAGAAGTGCTTTAACTCGATCGTTGAGAAATGGATTTATTGTATATATTGCGTGAACTAATGAAGTTTTACTGGACATTTATTATTTGTTATCGCTAAAGCGACAAACAATACGGTTCGAACATCCTATAAGAAATCGGCAGTGTCGAGTGTTAGTATTTCATGAACGGGTCTACTCAGCACATGTAATATTTCTGCTTTCTAATTAGATTACTGAAACATCATTTTTCTTCCGATAAAGAAGCTTCCTAATTTTGACATTAAAATAAAGAACTTTCCTCAACCATTTAGCAGATAACGATACCAAAGTTTGACAGGGGTAGGTATAGTCCTCTGTTCATGAATATAGCACATAATATGGAAGTGACTATCATAGAGAATGTTCAACATGCACGTTGCGTACAACATTTCATCAAATACAATTGGTCCTTGGTCGTTACTCATTTTTCCTATGGGGTCGCCATACGTACGTTTGAAGTTGTGGTTAATCGAAAAAATGCATTTTTTAAAAAAGTTTGTTATGATTTAAAGTCATCACACGTAACCAAAGGTTTGCACAATTTCCAATTTGGTGAACACCAAAAGTATATAAACCTTTAATGGCACTTGTTATCCCGAATAAACTGTGTGCATAGTTGGTAGCTATGGACCTCTTAGGCTGAGGTTCTTTGTATTTCGGTTTCGGATGCAATGGTTATTTGGGCGCCACCTAGTTTTCAAAAACTAGGAAATGGAATTAATAACAAGTATCACTGTTGGGATTCTGGCGTAAAAAAATGTATCAACTCACACAGACATTTATTGAACAAAAAAAAAATAAATAAAACAATTAAGGAAAAGTCCTGGAGGACCGGCTAACGAGAATAAATTTATGTATTACCGCCCTAGCTTACCCAAAAGGACTAAAATTAGAAAAAATGGAATGAAAGGCAAAGCGATCCAAGGAAAATTGTCGAATTCTGTCATGATTCGTGTCAACTAAGACGTGCATTAATCACTTAAAGACACTTTGTAGTCAAAAACTTTGATACTGATCTCCGTGTATAACGTTATATAGGTGTATTTTATACGATTGGATGCGTTAGGTAGGCTGAATATCCTGGCACATATACTGTAGGTAGATATTGAAGTATTGTGGTAAGTGTAAGACATAAAGCTACACGGTATACATATTTTGTAATATATGAATATATCCTCTGTTCTGTGCACATATCGAAAACGATAAACAATTTTATCTTTATAAGATATTTATGGATACGGATGAATCACCTGGCGCGTATAGCATCTCACAAACAAGATAATCTTCAATATCGTTTTACACAAAATAGACAAAAATGTAAATGTTCCATATACACTGACATCATTCAGCTTAACTATGAAACGGCTCCCGTTATTTGATACGTGCTTGCTACGATTAGACTTTTGGGCCCTTTTGGAATTACAAATGCTTGGTTTTCAATGCGCAAAGCTAAGAACAGGATACGAAAGCGCCATAGTTTTTGTGACGTTGTCGTTCGACTTTTATCGAGATAATTTGGTGTTTATCAAATAACGCTTGCAGCATACGGCTGGGTTGTTATGTGATATTATTCTTTACTTAACGCTTAGGTGGTTTTTCCATATCCAATATCTTAATTTATTTTGTACATAAAAACGACTGTCTATACATACACATTGAAACCAGATGACAAGAATTAGTGGTTAATATCAGCAAGTATGGCGCACATATGATCCAAAATGAACTAAAAATGGTGTTAATTACATTCAGTGATGGAATTTTTAGTATTCTGTCAGTAACGGTTGATTTTTAGAACATTAGAATGTGCCATTTTTCGAAGTGTTGTTAGATTAGATGTTTATTTAATCTTGACTTAGTTAATTTAACTTGAATATTTATAATATAAATAATTCACGAAGATTTTGATATATTAAGTGACACTATTTATTCTAGTTTGAATTTTCAGAAGATTATATGTATAGGATGATCCAGCAAAAATAACAGAAACAGGCATGTTTACTCTTCGCCCAGCAAATTCTAATCTGCTTAAATTTAAATAACTTTTCTTACTAGTATCAGAGTAACTGCGACAAAGCTTCCACTTTTTCAGGCCTCATTGAATTATTTGACCTATCTGCAAATTCAAACTATCAGAAGCATACTTGTACAGTACACGGACAAACCAATATATCAAAATTTTCGATGCACCCAAATATGCAGTTCAGATATTCTACGATAATGTCGAATAATGAACTGAAGAATATTAGAATTAGTTAAGACTATGTGTGATGTACATGTTAACAATTCAAAATTGAAAATAAACGAAATTATTACTTATTCCGTTGTTTCATTCTGCAGAAAAATTTCCCTTTTCAGTTACTAATTGGCTAAATTTCTTTGCATGGAATATGTTCCGAAAAATAGGTAGGTGGCACCTTTTTATTATTTTAACTAATTCACCCTGACTAACAGATACTAGGAATTCCAGCACTGAATTGTGGTTGTCGCCATTATTGTGCTTTGGATAACACCTTATGTGAAGATGTGAATATTTTCGTATGAACCTGCATGTAAGACTTAAACCATGGTCCTATGACCTAAATATCCAAATACAGTCTTGAAAGGTCGCCAAAAATAGGATGTTTCTGCACAAAATTTACAACATTTAAAAATACTACGAGAATCTTGGAGGCGGTTGGCTGAAGTTTTCGTTCATAAGTTACGAGAGTAGTCGGGAGTACTAAGGGATATAGTCTGGTGAAATTAGCTTCGTAAGTGTATTTGACAAATACCTCGAAAGGGGGTAATCGATACTGTCGGGGGCATTAACGGATATAATCCAGTGAGAACTAACTTCGCAAGGTTTTTTGACGCACATCCCAAAAGGGAGTAACCGATAGTGCGAAGATTTATAGACATAACGTTGTAGAGTTAATTTGACAAAACTGTTTTCGTTAATAAGCTCAACGACACTGAATACGCCATTTGTAGAGTTTGGCAACTGAGCGTGCGTGATTAATTTCAGCAAACAATCGTAAAAATCCGGGGCGCGTGCATCAGACATTTGCGGAATCATCTAAAGCTGAAAAATTCTTACGTATTAACAGTTCTTCATGAACGTGTATATAGAAACTCAAGTACGATCTCATAAAGTTATTAATCGTAAATGCCTTTGCTGGAGCCTCATTGGAGTAGCCACAAATGCAGACTACACAATCCCCAAGTAGTATTGGTATTGGCTTTGGACGTTCCAAGTCAATACGCATGCTGCGCCATTTTCGCTAGTTGAAGGAAGCTCAGGTTAATTGTAAATATTATCGGATTGTTAACCAACAGAAAACATTTGTCTTTATGTGGTAGCTAACTCTCACTGCGGATAATTATTGGTTGAAGAATATCGTTCTCGGGAGTCCATCATGACTATACCCTATTCGTAGTCCATTTACGCCCCGGCACAACAAAGATGCAGCGCGGCAAACCGGCAGCCGCCTAAGCATTGCAATAGCTATTGGTCGTTCGACCATAAAACTACAAACAAGTGGAGGATTCGACAGGATAGAACTCAGGATCGGTGTATCGCGGTCGCTGGCAGTTGCTGTTGATATTCGGTGCATACATAGCGTGTGCTTATACGTTAGCATGTCGTCTACGGATACAGCAAATGAAACTGAGAATATTTCTCTCAATGCTTCCTTCAGCCATGCTACCTTTTCAGTGATGCCTGACAAGCGTGACAAGAAGGACATTCAGGCGAAAGAAATTGCCCTTAATGTTTGTAAGAGCGAAATTTTAGAGCATCCTGAAATGAGAACCCATGATATTGAAAGACATCTGACGAACAAAACAGGCTTATGTCCTAATATACAATTTTCAGCATTGATAAAGAATATAAAAAAAAATTGTCTCCACCGCACAAGAGGCTGCATGACACGAAGCTGTTGCATACAGTTTATAACTCTGATCGGAATGCCATCAGGCGCAAAGTCCGTCAATTTTTTGAAAGGCAGGAACTTTCCACCATAGGCAAAGTGCTACAGGAGGTTAACAGTGATGAAGACTTACCTACTCTCAAAGGGATCACATTCTATAGTTTACTTAAAGAACTTCATTTTGAGTATATAAAACGAGGTAGAAATAGTATTTTGATGGACAGCCAAGAGATTATTTTATGGAATAGAAATTACTCACAATGAATAAAGAAATACCGCGACCAGGGCAGAACGATTTATTACTTGCTAAGCTAAAGTTTGGACTGACTCTACAATTAAATTAGCACGACAAGCCTTCTTAGATGGCCTATCCACTGGCCTAATGAATCCGTCAGGTACGTGTATCTAACCAATTCATAATTTGCCTTGTAAAAATGGTGTCAGGTAGACTGAATCTAGACTGAATCTATGAGCCCACGCTACACGCTACACTAAGCTTAGCTATATCTGGTAAATGTGGAACCAACATCTGTTAGATAATCTAATCTTGTTTAGTTTTCTTGAATACTATATGAAATAGCTATTTCCAGGAAAAGTAAATCGAACATAAAGCATTCTACAATTCTTATTTACCTTCAGCGGACCTTTAACCCTGTGGATTAACTAGAGATTCGTAGTTGCGCACTGCCGAACCCATTTTGATGGGTGCTGAGCGTTATAAATTAATACCTGAAACAGGATCCTTGAGTCCGTAAAAGCAACATTGTCACCTCAAACATATTGGAATGACTACAGGAGATAATTAAGCAACATAGAATAATCAACGGAGTTACTGAATGAAGATCGTTATTTCTTATTCGATAGCGTGTAAGCGTAATCTCATGCAGAGAAAGAAACACGATATAAAATTGTAGTTTTTGGAAATCCATCCGTGCGTTTTAGAGTAAATCACCTAACCACAGACTGCATAAGTGCTGCATTTCGTGTGTTTAAATTCTCGCCCAAGGGCAGGTCTCAGTGTTGGAGAAACCGATTATTTCTCAAGAATTTAAAATGAATTAAGGAGACCGTATGGCTACCATAAACTATAATCTACAGTTTACAGCTGTGATGTTACTAAAGGAAAAAGAACTGCTCTTGAAAATTTCGATCCGTACGTTTATAGCATGGCATCACCACACCACCCGAACAAAAAAACAGGGTATTTTGTGTCTAAGCAAAATTAAAACATTGCAATCATTTTCCAAGGATGACGCGGCTTGTCCTTCTCACTCATGTGTTGGAAAAATTTATTTGAAATTCGTACACTATTTCTTTATATCTTACAGAATATAACATCTATTTCTGAATCAAGGTCATATTCTAAGGACAGATCATCGAGAAGCTTGTTACGTTGCTGCTTTGGTGCCGCGTATTACAATTGAACCTCTGGGGGACTGTCTTGCCACATGTCGTCCATACAAAGAAGTGGAAACGCTCACAATATTTTATACAAAAATTACAAATAGTCCGTCGGAATAACAATTTTGAAATATACTCTACTGCCTCCTCTTTTCCTGCAATAACATGTTTTGTACTCGAGAAAAAATGGCGTCAAGTAGATTGACTCTGCACTTCCCCTAGACTCTCTGAGGAAAAAGTTAGCTACGAACATGTATAATATGGGAATTAAACGGAACTAGTCAGCCTAAAGACATTTTCCCTAACCTACCCGTAGCACCGTCCATCTGGCAATATCGCCCCTTCCCAATACCTCAATGCTTCTTTGACGCATGCACACGTCAGCCTCGGTAGCACGGCAGTCACGGCGATAGCCGATGGATGCCGCTGGACCCACAGAGCAGAGACGCGTGTTAAATATATTAATAGGTATGTTGAATTACCTCCGTTGGGAGTGTATCAATATACTAACATCAAAAAGTTGGAACATATGCCTACAGGTCCAATTTTTAAATTGTTATACAATGATTAGTATCCTCCTGAAACATCATAAAATGAAGCTTGTATGATTTTTATCTTTTTCGTCCTTTGCTTCTAGCTCGGCTTCCACTGGATTGTCTTTCAAAAATTACAAAGCTTTTTCGTCCTTGGCACAGTAGTAACCTTGTATCCAAATTTCCTCACAATCCGGACAATAATTTCAAACTCATAGAGCCCGGCTATATATCTTGGCTATATGTCGCCTATATCTCGGCTATACGTCGGCTATTCTGGCATATACCTCGAAAATATCTCGGCTATAATTCGGATATATTTTGGCAATATTCTCTCTCTCAATGTGCAATACACTTATCAGAAATTTTCGTCAGTGGGGCTACAAATCAAACAAGAATGACGAAATTGTATCGCGACAGATTACAATACTTACATTATATTATTACATTAAGTAGGATTCAGATAGTTCGGCAATTTGTCAGCTAGATATGTAAATAGGTCGGAAATGTTAAACACTTGTAACAATATAGCCAGGCCATACTAAAAACGTTGCTACTCTATTGCAGGAAGAAGGTAATGCATTAAAAGTAATGTTCAGATGCAACATTATACACATCGTAGGCACACATATTTCTACCTCAAGGATTTCGAATTGCTTTACTTGCAACTTCACGTCTACAGAGACTTAGATTTAGTTTTGATAGAACTGAAATCCGTAGACGTGCAGGTGAAAAATTCTTTACCAGAATTGTTAATATTTTCATAAAATGTTAAAACGTCAACCTCATGACAATGCCCTTCAGGTTATTCTACAATTTCTGTTTTGGTGGAACTTTGAAATCGCACGTCACTGCCTTCATGCATATCGTGTATCCCTTTCCGTCGAAATTCGTGATGGTTATACATTAAGGCAGACAATATAGAACACATATCGATTAATCTTGTAGTCAGGAAATCATCTGCCAAATCAATGGGAATGGGCTAGATTGCACCTTCAGGTAATATTTTAGCCTGCCCTATTAAACCATAGAATTTAAATGGGCGCAACGTTTTTTTATGGATTGTTATCGGAATACAATCAAGTTGGCGAACAATTTTTGCCTGAAACACGAACCAATATGAACTACACAATGTCGTCTTATAACAAGTATTCTTTAACTGCCCTGATATCATATATCTTACTAATCACTGTAATCGTCCAGAATTATAATGTACCTCAAATGTCATATACAACGTGTTTGGTCACGATATACCGATATTTGAGGGAGATATTTTTTAGCTATTTTTATCGACAAATCAACAATGTCCTACCTCACCATCCTTGAAATGGATCCATACCGCTGCGAATGAAATTAGGGCTGACACGGATATGGTCTGCCGCTCAACACGACACATTTTTTAAGAACAACAATGTGCATAACCAATAATGGAGGACATTTTGAACAGCTTCTATAACATTAAACATGTCCAAGA